AAGTAAAGACTGCACTAGGCTGAACCTTGCATCCATGCTATCTGCTTTTCTGACCTTTATTGATGGTACTATATTGTGTGAAACAAGGGTTGGAATTTAAAATATAGACTCTGATCTAAGAATAATTTAGAATAGTTTAGTGTGTATCTGGTCATCTTTAGACTTGTCTTAAAGTATCTCAGAGTAACTTAACATTTTTTTAACACTTGAACTTGCAATAACTTAGTACGTATACTTCTGTAAAAATATGTACCTAAACACAGAAGAGTCAACACTAATGAAAACGTTAAAAAATAAGATACATTAGGTGTGTTGGATGTGCCCTATTTAATAGATCAATTGTTGTGTTTTGGTACAGTGGTATGACGGATTAGTGGGGTTCCTGCCTCAGGGTGCCGACTACAGCTGTGATAATATGGGGTTATCCCCAGTTAAGAACCCGCAAGGAGGCAACATATGGGCATTTTAAATATAACATAAACAATAGACATAATATTGAACTGGACCACAATGACAATACTAATGCCAATTTAAACAATTTATTAGACTGATTTTGGCAACAGATGTATCTAGAATAACTAAAAGGACAGAAAATGAAGGGAAGGAATGTGAGCTATATTCTACAGGTTTGTTACATGACCTGAGGTACATCCATTATACAAATATGTATGCCAATTCAATATCTTAGTGGAAACATCTTGAGACAATCGATGAGTTATATAGCAAGAAACAACATACAGACTTCATATTTTACAATAGTTCTAATGACAGTCAAGATTTCTATGCCTTCCAAACTCTAGCTTTTTCAGTAGCATTTATGCATAGTCAATGTTGTTAATATTACAAGAAAGTAACTTGCAGGCTCCAAATTATTTCAGAAGTTATGTCCATGTACAATAATTTGTCAAAATGCTGTTTGAGTTCTATAAATTTGTTTGTGAAAAAAAATTGATCAGGTCTTCACATTTCATTCCATAACATTCCATGTTCATTTGAAACCATAAGTAGAAAACATTGAATAAATTATTCACAATCCTTTTATATTATAAAGCCCATACTTGGAATAAATTCCCTCTGCAGAATTCTAATTTGAAAACATTTCGATACTGCAGATATTTACTGCATAAAAATACCAGAAATGTGAGCAATAAACAGTTAGATCATCTCCGGCTCATCTCCATATAGATTAGCCTTGTTAGTGACAAACAGATAGAGACATAAAACTGTATATACATGACCAATGTAATGATTGAGCCTCGTGTTGAGCTTGCAAGACCTATCATTAGCTTACAATGAAGTGAAGGAGATAATTGGTATATTTGTCAGACTAAAAGTGGCCAAAATTGGACAGTTATGGAGAGAGAAAGAGATTGGTCTATGAATCTTCCTCATGCTTTTTCAATGTCCCATCTAACAATAATCTTAGCTTGCTGCATTCTGTCTTAGATTCTGGAATGTACACTGGATGACACTTGCCAAATCAAAACAACTTGAGAAATCTGAAATACGCTTTTAATGTACCAAGATTCTGCATGTTAATTAAGAGCTTTTTGGCAGCAATAACTTAACATTCTTTTTTTCCATGCTGTGAAAATGTATTGCTAGTGAAATGGGTTATCATGATTATGCAAATAATGTGATATAATGATTATATAATAGTAAAAAAAAAGACAGGTTGATCAAGGTAACATATTTGTTACTAAATATTTTCTTCACAAAACATAAAAGAATTTTATAAAATAAGTGCAATTAATTCATTTAATAACATTTTAAATAATTTTTTAAATCAAGAAATGAAATAATGATTACTTAGCATATTTGTAATTCTTTCTTGATCCAGCAGAGTAGCTAGATATAACATTTTGGCAGAGAAATCTCGAGATTGTCACAGATGCGTGCCAATTACAAACAGACAGACAGGGTGACAGGGTCTGGTATCACCCTATACCCTGTACTGAAAAGGTGCCAACAGCACAAAAACTTCATTCTCAAACATGGCTTCTATCATGGAAAAGAAATTCAATGACCCCATGACCAAGGTCAGCATAAACAGTGTCTCTGAAATGCCATTCTCTCATAATATTTATCACTGCTAATTTCTTTTGCTAGAAAATATATAAGTGTTTGTATATTTGGATCCTGGCTCCATCTGTGCCAGTCATCACTACATCTGGCTGGTCAATAAAATAGTATAGCTCTCTTGGATTAACTCCGATTATTCATTAATTTTACTCACATTTCTTACATAATACGAAAGACTGGAGCAAGAAAACTTTTTATTAAAGTCATGAAAGTTTATTGAGATATCAGATGAGATATATTTTGAGGAAGGCATGCATAAGATTACTTCAACGCACTGTTTTCTTCCACACATTAAAACATGTGAGAATTAATTGGGATAAAAATAATAATAAAGTTGAACATTTATTAATGTAAATTTTCAGTCTGTAGACAAATTCTGAAGAAACCAATCATGCATAATAACCAATTGCATGTCTTTGTAATTGATGATTTGCATTTTCCTTCAATCTTCTACTCAAGTTTTCATTATATGAGATTAGTTGTTAATTGGGAAATAGCATGACCAATTTCTTTTTTTTTTCTTTTTTTGAACATACAAAAATATTATAAATTTATTCAGATTTGCTGCATTGAAGTTTGAGCACCATCTGTTTTCTAATTTGTTGAGTATGATTATGAAGTTGTCAATATAAAGATTGAACTTTTTTTCCTCATACATTCATGCTGTTGTCAATGGTAACTCTGGTGCACTATGGGTATGGTTCCCATTGACCCAGCAGTGTCCAGACAGTATTTATTTAGCTGTCCAGACCCATCTTATCTGTTGAAGTGATAGGTCACCAGGGGGGCTATCACCTATCATTACACTCCCATTAACACCAAATCGCCTCCCTATCCCCCCAGTCATAGCTGTCCATCACTGGACCTATAGAGTGGATTTGCTGCTTCCTTCCCAGCTTTTGAAGAGGTAATCCGGCTACCTCTGTTATATCTACCTAACGGTTTGCATGCTTTTGAGCTAATTAACTGAAAATGATATGAAGATTAGTTATTTAGGAATTACTGCAAAACAATTAACTCCAAGTCAAAAGTTCAACATGCATTTAAAGTAACTTTGCATGAAATGGGATCTGAAACTCACAGATTTGAATAGATGATTCAAAATTTAGATGGTAATGTTTGATGGCCAATGAAAAGATATTTGTTGAAAAACCATTGAAAATGGATAAAATTTGTTTGGCAAACTTGGTATTGATGTCTGGTGTTTAAATATTTCTGTTCACTTAACTGAATGAAGGCAATCAAAAGTGCTATTAAAATGATCAAACTTCAGAGTAGAGAAGATTTGACCAAAGTTTGTACACACCATCTAAAGGATTCAAGTGACTGTTGTTCTCATTTAAGTACACTTAATGGAGTTCTTGTTGACACCCTGAGCCCTATCCCAGGCCTGGGAAAAGTAAATGACCCTCACTTCAGGAACACCTCGGCACTTTACATTGTCTACTGGACGATGATGGATTGCAAAGTTTTATCCTACAATTATTGGAATGTCATCAACAGTTTAAAGAAAAGCACCGGATATAATAATGATCACAGCAAGTCAATTCTCCGGAAATTGTCACAAGAATTTCACTTCATAATTGCTAGATTCTCTAACATTAAAATACATTGATTTTTTTTTTTTGTGGAAATTGACAGAGCTATACTACAATGTTAAAGTAAAAAGGCTTTTATTTGAGAATCTATTAACTCTAAAGTATTATGTTCCCCAAGACTGCATAAAAGGTGCAATATCAATAGCTATTAAAGGAATTTCTAATTGCATTTACTACATTATCTCTTTGTCAATCTTTTTAATTTTTAGGCCTTTAATACATAATTGTATGTACATAGCATTTATTTCAAACTTTAAAAAAGTGATATTCCTCAATGGTGCTAATATGATCTTGACATTACTTGGACATATACTGACATGTCGTAAATATTTTTTCTTGCCACCAGATTTCTTATAACCATTAAAAAATCAAAATTAAATAAAGAAGGAATGCACTGGTAAGAAAATTCTAATATATTTTTTATGAAAAGTTTTAGTACAAGAAACTTTAACTTCAGTTTTCTTTACCCTGAAAAATACAAATCCATTAACCTAGGCTATTCAATAACTCATCGTTTTTGTTTTTCTTGATTTAGAATTTTAAAAAAAAAATCTTCTCATAAAAATAGCCCGCCCAGCTGATTGGATAACAAGCTGATGGAAGCTCAGTGCTGCGAGCTCTGTCAGCAAACTCGTAAGAACTCATCTCGCGAGCATGTGCCCCATTTGTCTGACATAACTTCTGGCATTGTTCTCAACTCCATTGATTATTCTTAGCTGGAAAAACTCCAGTTCTGTAACTTATATCTCTTCAAATACTTTATGAAATGTACAGGTCTGCCATAATTCACCATCTAATTAGATCACAATGCCTCACTCAGAAGTCTCAGAGTGGCTTGTTCAACTTGTTTACCTGTTCATTTTGGAATGTATGTGCAATTGATTATAGTTAAACTTAGAGTGTTTAAAAATTCATTTTAACATGATGCAGCATAATCCTTTTAACTTGATGTATTGTTTCTAAATTCCAATAATTACAGTTTTTATTTGAAGAATTTAATTTCAATTCATGTTTTTTAAAATTAAATAAACTCTTTCTCATTTATCTGCATGATGTCCAAAAACTTAAGAGTATGTTTGTGTGTCATTTCTGTATCCCATAACTTATCATTCAGCTTATGATACAAGTATTACTGACTTTCATCCTTTAAGCATATTCCGATCCTAAATAACCAAGTTTATCACAGGCTGTCAATGATATCTCATACAACATTGAACACTTTATTTATCGGTGTCAATACTGATTTTTTTCTATTTACTGAGCTTGTACTTTCTGATTCTAGAGGTATGGTCTAATACTGCCTTTTTTTTCTATTTATAGAGATCCTACACTCTGATTCTAGAGGCCTGGGACCGGGATACCATGGCTTGTAAGTGATAACTTGTTTTCAATAATTAATTGAAACTCATGTGAGGTTTTAAGAAAAAGTTTGTCAAAGGAGATACAAAAAGGACACGAAGTACTTTATTTGAAAAATAATCTATTGTGTGTCAGTTTTTAGAATCAATAAATTATCAGCACACATACATGTAACCTTGCCATATTTTATATCAAATAATCAACCATGAGTGCACAACCTTTATCTTTTGATACACCCTTTATAAATTTCTTTGCTAAATATTATACAAAAAACAATTCACTTTAGAGGAAATTGCAGATGCAGAAACTCTACAATACAGAACAAATGCACTGAGTATTTCTGATGACAATTAATAGGAAGGGAATATCCAAAAATGAAATGAAAATTTTGTAACATATTGTAAAACATGGAACTTTATGCAAGAGAGTAATTCATTCTTTATATGTGATAAGTTATATTTTGAGTACATATTATCTATGTACCAATGTATATGCCTTTGTGAATATTTTTTATAGAATTAACAATGCATTATCCATTCAGATATCACAGCCCCCCCCCCCCTCCCCAACAAAGTGTTTTGCTACTTATTCATTTCATTGACAACCCCATAAATATCTAGGATCATTTGAACTTACTGAAATAAAGATGGATTATAGTTACAATGTACAGCATATTACAACTTAATTACTAGATGTAATTATATAATTAAAAGAAGTAAAACAAAATAAGCAATTATAATACCCAAAAGTAATTCATTTGAAGGTTAGCTCGTATTCAGCAAATAGCATATCATATAAAGTTTCAGAATGAAGACTATGGGCATGCATGACTGATCTATTGCTCCTCCTTATAGCCCCTCCCTATATTTCATATACAGTTGTGAAAATTTGAATACTACTTGATGTGCACTTTTAAAGTAAATTATTTGAAATAAAACAAAAACAATCACTGACTTATGGTTAACAACAAAATATAAACAATTAAGGAACAAGATTGCATCACTGGAAAAAGTCGGGCAATATTTACAAGTACAGCTCTCTCATTTAAGCAGATAGGGTGTAAATTAATCATTGTCTTCATACAGTATCTACCTGCCAAACAGATGCTGAATCAGGGATCAGCCCAGTTTTTGGCAGACTATTCTCGTGGCTGCCATGTTTTCTTTCCCATGCATTTTGTATCACAAACTTTATGGGCTTTGATCATGATAGCTTATAATGCACAAGATAAAACATTTTTCTGTAATAAAGAACATTGTGGAATTTCTTAGTTCTTCATAAATAGTGCTTATCATTTGGTGCTTTCTGCTAGCTTGAGACTATACCTGGATATCTCAAACAGGCAAAACACGAGAATGCTTCATAAACAATTACGCAGGTTTTATGTCATGCCGGTAAACATTTAAACTAAAAAATTGTTCAGATTTTATAGAAAGTGAAGAGTTTCGATGAAACTGTAGCGATTAAATAAATAGAAATGAGGGATCAAGGAATTCTTGAATTTATCTCCGACGAGCGTTTGATGGCATAATGCTCTCCAGGAGGCTTATTAGCCATTTATTTAATCAGCAGCAGAAATATTTTTCTTGTAGTAAATAGTATAGTTGTAGTAAAAACTCTGCCAATATTTTTTTTTACCTCTAGATGCATTTGCTTTTTATTCCATCTACAATATCCCTGTTTTTTTTTCTCTTCCAAAAATTTAAAATAGCATTTCTATGTTCTTCTCTTGCATGAGAAATTCGGGTTTTTAGGAACAAATCATTTGTTTAAAATTTAAATATTTCCTTTCATTTATCAGGTTTCTCATCCTGTACTCTTTAATGCATTCTTCCTCTTAACAGTTAAATGGTGAATCTTATCTTTTAACAGCTGTCCATGATTTCACCCCTCTCAATTTAAAAAATTGATTGTTTGATTTTTTAAGCGTTTGGGAAATTCTCAGTTTCGTGGTTCCCTGGTTGAGGAGATAATAGACGTAAACAATATCTAATGGAACTACATGCAATCACTCCTGTCTCAGTCCTTCTTATAGCCTTAACCAGGTCTTTTTTAGTTTTTCAGAGAGATGAAGGGTATGATAATGATGAAGACACAGTTTATCTCCTTTCCAATTTGTTCCCATGCATTCTTGAGGGAATGCCAAAATGTGCATATTTTTACATTAAAACAATCACTACTAACTAATTGCTTTTCTGTAACTTCAGCAAATAATTTTACTAAGATGTTCTATAATTTCATAGCAAATACAATATGTAGAAGAAATTGGAACTGTAGTGGCACATAGATTTTTGTTTTGCGTAGAAAAAAATATGAAAGGTATTGATATAATGCATGAGTTTTATGCTTAAATACCTATGCAGTGCATTTATTGAATTTTCAAAGCACATGCATTTTCTTTGGATCATATATTATCTCCATGTTTCTTCCTACACATCAAGGAACACTCAGATATAAAGTATACATATTTCCAAGAGCTTTCAAGAACTTGCCATTTTGAATTATGCTCTGCATGTTTATGAAGGCATAAAGATAAGGATAAAATGGTTGAAATATTCGAAATAAAACACCAATAAAAAGATCAAAAAACATATAACCTATTTTTATTGACATAGGTGTTCACATTGAAACTATCTTCCATCTCAGTTTGACTGTTACAACCATGTTTAGATTGCCTTCCACTTGACAACATCAAAATTAATTTCTTTTATATCAAGCACAATATTCCTGCTTTTTGCTGCACTTGAGAAACTTTGATGTGGAAGACTTTTTGTGTATTGTGACTTTAAAAGAAGCATAGTGCAGAGTGTTTGGATAAGATCTTGAACTGAATTCTGCCACACGGCTCCTCCAGTTTTGATTTCCCCTATTATTTAATCTCACTTTATACTTAGTTGTGCTCTGCTTTAAGTGTTGAGTCCATTGGTAATTAATGAGATTTGGAACAAGTTATTGCAAATGAGTAAATGCACTTTTGATGTTAAAGATTCTGTAAATCTCTTAATCTAATGAGTCTCTTAGAGCTAAGAGTTATCTCCCTTTCTTCAGAAGAGTTACAAAGGGAGATAATGAAACATATGGCATGATAATTTTATATTATCACTGGTTAGAATTTATGGAATATGATAGATGTGTTAATAACTTATTCATTCACTGATAAGATTCATAATGATCAATGTTATTGCACTTGACCTCCTTTAAGCATAGATTTTTAAATGTTACATTGTCCTTGTGCTGAAAAACATGTGGTGATGATAATGTTTTACCAGCAGCAGTACCTTTTACCTTCAACAGTGTAAAGTTTCTGGACACATAATTGAAAGAAAACAACCATAACAAAATCTTCTTTTTTTTTTTTAAACTTTTGTAGCTATTTCTTCAGGTTAAAATAATATGAGCTAGGTTACAATAAATTCTTTTTTGTTTGCCATGTTGCCAAGTTCAAGGAGTAGGGTGTTAAACTCACACCTAAATTTTTAGGGAAAAAAAATTACATGATGATATATCAAAATGGGCCCATTAAATGGGAATTCCTCATTAGAAAAAAAAACCTGTTAATTGTTTGCAATTGCCATCTCTGACTCTTTACACTATGTGACAGTCAAAATATCACCCAAGTCAAACTCTTTCTGGTGGGTTTAAAGATATCTATCTCCCCTGATTATAATCTTCCCACTGATATTTTAGGTTATTTGACAGTTGTTATACATACTCACAAAGACTAAATGACACCAGCAGATGTAATCAGCACCCATTTAATTTAGGGACCAACAGCTTCAATGAGCTAGACATTCTGTGGACATGCAACATATTCAAGCAACTTATCTTCCATACTGAGACAACTAAGAGGACATTTCTGCTTAATTCAAATTAGAAAGATAATAACTAGATTTTGTGTAAACAACTTATTTCAATAAATTCAATCTACAAGTTTAATCAGTCTTTTGTTGATCCTGTCATCAGACTCTTTAAATATCTTTTGGTTTTGTTACTGCATTTCAGTTAATTAGATTTTTGTGGAATATCAAACACTGTGTGGAGCAATATTAACCCCCGTTTTGCTAAATTCAATGAATTTTGTTTAAATTAAGAACTGATCAATGAGAGGGCCCTTTTGTTGGCTCTCTTGCACGATTCATCTGTTTGTCCAGGCTGCCATAGTACAAGCTGAATGGACAATGTTGGTTTTTATTATGAATTTTTTATGTCCTCTACATGTTTTTAGATTGATCTGGACAAATAGCATAATTTTATGTCTTAGATGACCTGTGCCTTGTCTTTGATAGTATTGATGTCACACCATATTTTATAACATTTTGCAAATTATACAAAACACATAGTATGTACATGCTTTCTCCAAGGGGATTATATATTTATGTAATATATGCTAAGGCAGAGAGTGAATAAGAAGACAGATGTTGAAGCTGATAATGCAACATCCTCCATGTCTTCCAATCTTACGCTGATATATGATTGTTTTAAAATATTGTAATGTCTGTTAAATGGAAACTTCTGAGGCTACAGATGCTGCACTGCATCATTTATATGTCTGTAACCTGCCTTACAGCTGCCATAGTGAAGTTAAGAATTAGAAGACTACAAGCACCTGTGCACTAGCACTCTTACAACTACCGGTAAATAAAATATAAACATGACAAACAGTAATCACTCTCAAAAGTCTATTGGAACAATACAAATTAGGAGCAGAGCAAACAAGGACCTCTAAAAACATTAGAGATGGGATCAGGTGCCATGGAGGAGTAAGTATTCCCTGTCAACCGGTTACAACTGCCTTGTGCTCTCTCATGATCTGGCGAACGGAAAAATCCATAGACAATTCATTTTGAAAATAATGGCCTAACAATTTGTATGATAAAATCAGTCAACATTTGACTTAACAATAGATTATATTTGCTAACAAGGTCATTGTATCAACCATAGAATTTGCCAAATGTTGACTTTAAAAGGACTGTTGATATCATTGTGTCATCAACTTATTTGTCAATAGCTTGTCTAGTTTTAGAAATTGTTTGTATGTAAAGCTTGCTCTTGCATATCGAATTAAGTGTAAACTCAATATGCAGATGAAAATGGTATATTGCTACATAAATAAAGGAAGTTGATGATAGAAATGTTGAAGTCATCACATTTATCATAAAGTTTTGTTGTTAAATAAAATCCTCCAGTCAACTCTTTTCTAATTCACTCTGTATTTTGGCTGTCTAATGCACTCTGTATTTTGACTGTCTGGGCATTTTAAATTTTGATGAATGTGCTATTTTTGTAATTTTGCTGATGAATGGGTCAAATTTCAATATTCATCTACAACAAGTAATTCAATGCAGTATTACATGGGCTAGAAAACATTGAAATATGGAATTTTAAAGTGCATGGGATTGTAATCAGGGAATTCTATAGATACAATGGACACAGTTGTTGAGTGAAGACATCTCGAGGTAATCATTAGGGAACTTGAACTTTTAATCAGGTGCTCTTATGTTTACCTCTGTTTTCTTCATGGTTTAAAAGTTCATAAATGTTTGCTTTAACACAGCTACCATGGAAGCCTGCTTTTAGATCAAACAGAGCTTTGACTTCCCGGACAATGGCCTCATCCAGATTCCTTACCAAACAATGGACTCTCGTCAGTCTCCATCAAAAATGACACTTATGGCACACACACATCATACTCTGTTATGTACTGATTGTTAGATGCTTAGCTTGTGTCGTTCATATCTTCTATCTCAATACTTTATACTTATATATTTTTCATTTACAGATGGTGGTCAGTTAATTGAGAGGGCTGCTCATTCTGGAATCATCTTGCCTGGCCAGGACTGGCACACTATTACCCACAATGGCCCAACTGCCAGCCTTATCTACAGGATAAGAGTGGTATGTGATGTCCATTACTACAACACAACCTGCACCAAGTTCTGTCGACCTCGAAACGATCGTTTTGGACACTATACCTGTGATAGAAATGGAGACAAGGTGTGCATGCAGGGCTGGATGGGAAACAACTGTGAAAAAGGTATTGTTATATTGATGTTGCAATCTGCTTTTCTAACTCTTGAAGGAATGCACATTAACACAGACTTTTTCCCCTGGTATTTGAAAGCTTGTTCCAATAAATACAAGATTTTGTACACATGGCCAAGGAAAATTTCAGGTGTGTTATGCATTTTGTGAATCAAACAGAGTATTTTGCCAAATCTCTGTATACTGATGAAAGAAATGTTGGGAAAGGAAGATACTCATAGTAACAGATGCAATATGATCAAAGTTCTCATCTAAGGGTTTATTCTAATGAGGAAATGGCATATTTTAAATGATGTACATGTAGCATATAACTCACTTAGGAGTAGGTCATATCCCTGGTATATACATAGAAAACCATGAAAATTATCCCAAGAACATTTACTACTAAACTTAGGATTTCTGTTTTACTTTCACTGAGATGTTATAAATCATAGGTAATTGAATTTTTGCCGTTAAATAGTAGTAATTGATATGGGTATGACATCATTTTTTAATACTCACATTTCAGGAAAGCTTGTAGTCTAATTGGTTTTCACATTTCTTTTTTGTGGCTGTATTTGTTTATGGGAATGGCAGGCTCTAGAAAACAGTACAAAGTAACTTAATGAAACAAATATTACATGTGCTAACATTAAAAGATCTCGACAAAATAAATTAAACGTTTATGTAATAATAAAGCATACTCTACATTTCCATCACTATATAAAATAATAATCATCAAAATACATATGTTACATAATGAGCAAGAATCATAAAAGATTGTTGTATTCATTAGTCATATCTTGTCAGTTTTTTTTATGCAATTGATATCTGTCATTCGGGGCTTCCTTATCGCTATAACAGGGCCATAAACAGGGCAATATTTGCAATATTTCTATAACTTGTTCACAAATAGGGTGATATGAAGCATTATCTTCTTCCCCACTTTCCTCAGAGTTGTAAATTGATTGTTGCTGGTATTTGCAGCAAGCAATTGTGAAATATTGACACTGTACATCCATTAATCATTGAGGCTGTCATTAGTGTAAGTCTACGATAAAATGAAGAATTGCCCCTACAGTAGCGCAATAGATGTCAAGTGAATGATGTACATGGTGAATAATTATATAACAAAAGCATAAAACTAACAAAATGGAATCATGTTTCAAAACTAAAATACTCTTAAGATTACTTAATAGCTTTTCACTTGTTAGAAAATGAAACTCTTCTATCATAACCCCTCTACAAGAGATATATTGTTTAGCCTTTGCACATCAAATCTATTTTTCTTCATTGTGTAACGCACTTATGGCAATTGCCTTTGAAGACTCACTACAATAATTATTGAAATATTAATTTACTTCCATGCACGATAATACAGTAAAACATTATTTTATTTGTAAAATTGTAAGAACCATTAAATTATTCCCCTATATACCTAAAAACTTTTTTTTTTCAAAAAAATTTGACTTTTGTACATATATGTACCTATTGCAAACATCACGGATTTCTATATAGCCAGTTTTTTAATACCAGTATCATTAAAATTATGTCAGAACCAAAGAAAGGTAATAGTGTTCATTTAAGCATTGAACACTATCAATACACAAGTAAAATAGTGCCTTATAGAATAGAGTGCTCTCAGAATCGTAAAGAACCTTTTGACCATATTTTTTAAGCTTCCATAGCAATAGTGCTAGTACATGTAGCAGTTATAACAATAACAGTCCTAAGAATAGCAACAGGGACATTGTGAAGGCTATAATACCCTTAAATTAGTTATTACTAAAAAAATTAGTTAAATACAACCTTAAAATAGTAAGGTGTCAAGAGAGCCTTTGTAATAGTAGTCTTTAAATTCATAACTATGCTCTCATAGCAGACCTTGATATTAGAAAAGTTCACCAGTATCCTAGCCCCAATTTAGGATATGGATAACACTGCACTAAGTTAAGAGAAGTTAAAATACCTTGGAATAGTTCACCAGTATCCTAGCCCAAGCTCAGAATAAATATTACACTTCACTAAGCTTAGAGGAGTTATAGTGCTTTGAAATAACTCACCAATTATTGGTGAATTATTTCAAAGCACTATAACTACTCTAAGCTTAGTGCAGTTATTTATCAAAAGCTTGGGCTAGGATACTGGTGAACCATTCCTAGACACTAAAACTTCTCTTAGCTTAATGCAATGTATTTACTATCCTAAGCATGGTTTAGGATATTGGCAGCCAATATCCTAAACCATGCTTAGGATAATTACATTGCATTAAGCTAAGAGAAGTAATAGTGTCTAGGAATGGTTCACCAGTGTCCATAGCCCAAACTAAGATACCGGTAGTAATTTATAATACATTGCACTAAGCTTAGAGTAATATTACACTGCACTTAACTTAGAGTACTAATAGTGCCTTGGAATAGTTCATCTGTATCGTAGCTTCAGCTTAGGATGCCTTTTACACTGCACTAAGCTTAGAGTTAGTAGCCAAATTGCCTTAGAATAGTTCACAAGTATCCTAGCTCCAGCTTATGACAGAACAGGTCAATGCTTAAGAATAGTTTAAGTACACTGACAGTAATAAAGGGAATGTTAATTTATAATGGTAAATAAGTAAAAGGGTTCATTTAATGATACTTGTGTCCTAAGAATAGATGCATTGCATTGCATGAAATTAGTCACCCTAACCCTCTCTCCTGAATCAGACAAAAGATGCTGCATCATTCTTATTTAAAAGTTTTTTTTTTTTCCTTGTGTTTGATCCCTACCCCTGAAAAATTTGATTTGCCTGGCACGGAAAGAGAGCTGCATACACTCCAACAAAGCAGTTCTTCTATGTCTGTATCTTGTCAGGGAATTGAAGTTTTGACTCCCACAGCATGGGAAAGTTTTGATCCCTGAGCCAGAGAAAGAGGAACTGCATGGAATCAAATCCACACCAAAAAATTAAATTAAATTAAATCAGTGTTAAGTGACCTTACATAATGGCTGAGGCCACCAAAAGAATATGCTTAGTGCTTCCTATTGCCTACATGTGCTCCTTTCTTCTTTTAGCCATATGCAAGACAGGATGCAGCCACGGATCATGCGATTCCCCGGGGGAGTGCAGGTAGGTCAATTCTTTTACAGCTATTTCAAATTATGTGAGGTTGTACAAGCATGAGCAAATGCTTGAATTCTTTGTTCTTCCCCCCTCTAAAAAGTAAAGTGCAGGTTTGGTGGTTAATCATTTGTTTGGCCACAGTTTGGACCTTTTTTCAAAATTTATTTTCTTGCTGTTGTTTGTTTTGGTTTGCTTTTCTTTTCAAAAAGATGTTAATTTCTAATAAAATCCAGTGCTATAAAGCAAATAATTATTGATGCCATGTTGAAGTCACAGATCATGAAGGTTTGACACAAGAAGCTTATCATCTCAATGACAATATTTCAGCAGTTGGAAAAAAAAGTAAAAAAAGTTTAAAGCAGAATCACCAAATTTTCATACACAAATTCCAAAGTTATCCTAATATCTTTTGCATGCTTGCAAATAAAGACTTTTTAAAAAATCCAAAGTTGTTTTCTCTGTAAAATTACACTGCAAACTTTGGCATTCATTTTTTTTTTCTCCTGTTTCATTTCTTGATTTTTGATTTGAACTGTTTTAAATACTTTGGTACAGAATGTATAGATCAAGAAAGCAATATATTGGACTCAAAATCTATCATTAAGAAACATTTCTTTAGTTAAGTATTTGAAATGGCTAAGATGTCAGAAACATAAATAAAAGTGCAAAGAGTGTAATTAAAATGACCCTAAAATAAGACAGGTATTAAACGCATATGAAGCAAATTTTTCTTTAATGAAATGTACATACAATACACCATTATAAATTGATACATGTACTGAATTATGAAGTACATGTACTTCAAAAAGCCATTGCTCATTTCTATTCAATCCTGAATCAGTATGGTTATTTCCAGGTCCATTAAACAATTATTAGTTTTTTCCTTGTTTCTGAATTTGCAATTTTCTGTTCCTATATAGATTATCACTTCATTGATGTTTTCAGTTTTATTCTACAAAGAAAATAGAAAAACCACATGAAAATATAAAGCTGCATGTACACAGTATATTTTCTCAAATGTACCGGTACAAATTTATTAATTGATTTAATGAACAATAACTTTTGATCAAATTGAAAACAAAATTCTGTATCATAAATGACAGATATTCCCAAAAATTCACTTAAAGCTTTTATTGTCCTAGTGGTGACATAGATATTTAAGAGTAAATATTTATGATATTTATGATAAAAAAAAATCTGAATATATTTTTTACGACTGAATTATATTAACATTTGTAATGACCCATTTAATTGTCTTTTCAACTGGTAATCCTCAGTTGGAGTAAATGGCCTTCTTTCAGTCACCATAAAGATGGGACTTGATTGTGAACCAGTAGGTTTACTAGAGTGAATAAAAAATACATGGTTCAATATCTATCTGTATCAGAGATTTAAATCGGGGGGGGGGGGGGGGGGGGATGAAATTATCTTGTGGTTGTTGTCATCAGACAGCTTAACTTCTTGTCAATTGACTCATTTAATAAGTGGTTTTCTCTGAAGCGAGACCGTCTTGAGAAAGTGTCTCGTGTAGGCTATCATTTCAGAGATTATATCTAGCAAATAATAGCATCATCTACTTCTCACTGCTCATTGTGAAGCAATGCGGTTTTATTGTCCACTTTATTTCCTTCTTAAATTTAAAAATATACATTCTCAAGTTGCTTTCATATTAAAGTACTTTTTTTTCATTTTATTTGATATATGTTTGTAAGAATATGAATAATTAAATTTTTTCTCAAAAAAAACAAAAAACAAAAAAAAAACAAAAAAAAAATCTAAAATCTAACCCCAAAAGCACTTGAAATTTGTTTCTTAACAAAATTAGTACTTCCCACAGATGGAAAAAAATCTCTTCTAATTGTATAATGTTGAGAAATGTAAGAATTGCATGATTACACATGTCTGAATTATAAATTACATGTATATTAAATTTTATTCATTTAAAAAAATAATTTTGTCCGTAATTCTCATGCTTTCCTCTAAATTGAAGATATTTTCATAAAGCATTTTCCCGTATAAGTAAACATCAGTAGACACAAACTTAGTTGTTAAAATGAGATTTTTGGCCGTCATTTTTGTCAATCTGCGACAGGTAAATTTCACACACGAGAAGCTTGGGGCCATCTAACTTTACCTGGAGTTGAATTTGACTTTTCCCACGCTTCCAAGTCATTAGACTGACACCTCACTCTTTTTAATTACAAATTGCGCTTCCTTAAATTGGGGAACATATATGTCAACTTTGGGGCCTTTCAAAGGATGCTATGTTTACTTTTTATTATTATCAATCATGACAAATGATGACTATTAATCTTTCTTTCACTGAAAATTATTTAGACAGGATACCTCAATTGATATCAGTTTGTTGAACAGGTTTATTGAAAGTTTTTATGGTAAAATTGACTTCATGTTAACGTCCAAAAAGTATAAGAAACTGTAACTTTCTTTTTTCTGGCATTAAAGAAATATGCTTCAAGAAAAAACGCACTTGTTCATTTTTAAACTCTTTATAAAGGACTAGTTAAATTCAAACTTTTTGCAACTTCAATCACAAAATAGATTTGCTAGCGGTTATTCCACAACTAATCATCTGCATATGCATTATTTATTCATTTAATGAGAATCTGTACTCTCAAGGGGCCCTATAATAAAATTTCATAAATTACCATATAGTATCTTAGTTTACACAATTTTCCCACATTTTCTTTGCTCATCATAAATGATTTATGAAAGTGAACCTGAAAACTGTCTATCCTTAGGGAAGGTTTACAGATTATTCTGCACAATTCTCTAATAGTCCTCGCTCTAAATTGTATTATCATACACTTAATGTTATTCGAGAAATGGTTTTAAATTTGGTGCGTCTTAGAACCATCATTAAAATAAGACATTAAATTTGAATATTTATTTGGAAGATCTGATAACAAGCAAACATTGTATTTAAAAAATCCATTTGTTAACAAAGAAAAGTACAAATGAATTTTTTTTAAAGAAAATATGTTTGAAAATGTTACCTTGAGATTGATATAAAGATTGAAATGGGTTGCTATTTCTTTGTCCTATGTTCCCAGAGATAAACAAAATCTAGACTGATGCATGCATTAGAATAAAAAAAATCAAATATAAATAAATTTCAGTTTATAATATTATCATAAAAAAAATATTTAAATTAAACAATGTAAACTTTATATTTATAGATATTAGACAAATCATTTCAAGAATGATTTTTTTAAAATATCATCAATGCATAGTGGTCTAAATTAAACTATAAGATAAGAAGTATTTGAGGAACTTCAAAACATTGTAAAAATATATTATATTCTAAATAATTATTGTCACAGCACAAAGAAAAAAACATATTGTTAACCTGAGCAGTACATGGCACATATGGATTAAGCTTTTTATATATAATTGTGGAAAAGATTTTAAATTAGCCATAATTATAACCTCAACACATACTCAAGTTTTGTGATACAAAGCTAGTGTTGAGCTAGTTTTGCCAGTGAACACTTGACTAAGCTGTTTGTAATAAAATACAAGGTGAATATCTCCAAACTATCTTGAGTGAAATTGTTACGATGATTTGCTTTATGAATGGAAAAAAAAATTAATATTTCAATAGCAAGGGTGTAAAATTTACTTTGTTATAACCATAAATTTGTATATATATATAGAAGGATTTAGCAGGGACATAAAAATTTGCTATAGCTTAAAATTCACTATATCCATGTTTGTTATAATCTAGTTTAGCTGTATTTTCAGATGATTTACAGGGTTGTCCCTAAGGCCTGGGGACTGGGGAATTTCCCCGCCTATAATGACGTAATCCACCGGTTATTCTGATATTTCCCATCAATCTCCTATTAGAGGAAGAACCCCAGAACCCCTTCTACTTTTTAATGGCCCCTGCTATTTCAATCCTTAGGGACAACCCTGATTTATAAAAAATTCAAACAGTTGACAGCTGTACCTTCCACAAAGGCTTAAGTGAGTATTATTAAAGTGACAAGTTAAAACTTTAAGAATCAGAAGAATCAGAGACTTACATGTATTTAATCAAGGTTGATTATGACCAGAGGGTGTAACATATTTGAGTTCAAGGCTATTTGGGAGAAGTCAAGGTCAAAGGGTTCAGGAGAGTAAAATGCTAGTTCTTATCACAAAATGAAATGGAATAAAACTTGAGAAGCTCATCACAAAAGTTGCTTTGTGACCAGGGAGCATCATGACCTAGAGCTACATGTACAGTCTTTTAGAAAAAGGTCAAGGTGATGATGAGAAGTGTAACATTTTTTATTGGGTTCTGACAAAAGGAGAATCCTTGAAAGATAATTAATATCTGACACAAACATTGCTTGTGACCTTAAGCTGTGCAAAGACCCTGTACCAAGGAATTTGGATAAGGTTAACATCATTGAATTTGGATATGTAAAGGTTCTGTCCATACCAAAGCTTTGCAATGGAATAATTTAGATCCCTGAAGGTTGTTTAATTCCAAATGGTTCATGTATATTTAATAACCTGGGCTGTGTTCAAGATCGTAGCAGCTACATGTAGCCTTATAGTTGCTAGGTTAGATATATAGGTCGTACTGAACAGACTGTATGAATTAATGCTTGTTTTGGCTAGGCTAGCATATCATTCAAGATACTAGTGGCTAGGTAGAGCTACGTAGCTGTCATGACCCAGGAGTTTCTGTCATTTAGACAATGTCAAGGTCCAATGTTTTGAAGGCATAAAATTTTAAAAGGCATGACTCTGTAACCAAAGAACATTAGGAAGACAAGCTTAGTATGAAACTGCTCATAACATGGAAATCTGTCATAATTGAGAAAAGTTCAAGATCATGTGGCACAGATGTTATTTGGGTCTTGACATTTTAAGATGTTTGTAACTTTTAAACCCAATAAATAAGAACTGTCATCACCAGAGGAGGTTTAACAATTTGATTCATTTGTAATTAATGAAGCCATTTTGTGCATTGAGTGAATCAAGTTCTTTGATTT